AACTGTCTGATGGAGTTAAACCTGACAGGTATATCAAAATATAGTTTGAAAATCAGGGTTTAGCCACCACTGGTTTCCCCGCGATTTGCCGACCTATGGAACTGCGCAGAAATTCCATACTGTTGACGCATCACCACCCAGATTTGACTTGATCTCTTTTCCAAAACTTAGCTTTAGCAGCATCTTATAATTAAGATGAGATGCTGCTACGGAATAGCCTGTACACAGATGTTGTTTTCTTTTTCTCTTTTTCTTCTTTTTCGTTTTTTTCGAGCGCGGAGCGCGAGAAAGAATTTCCCCACCACTACCCCCTCGCGCTGGCGGTCAATAAATCTCCCGCGGTTTATATTTTATCACGCGCGTTCGACGGACTTTGAAGAGAAAATAGAGGGTCTGTGGACAGGCTAGCTACGGAATTAAGGAAGAGATCAACCTTGCAAAGATCCACGCTGGATTCACTGTTCAACAACTTAAAACTATAGTAAATAGAGTGGAATGGTTATGACGCCTGCCATTATATGCTTTTGTGGACATGATGGTGCATAATACTGAATAGCCTTCCTACAATTTTGAACAAAGTATTGTGCACCATCAGGATTAGCTCCCAAGATAAACTGCAGCACCTTTTGTTATCTTTGATGTTTGCCTCCTTTCATAACCAGTCTTGAATTGTGCTCCTCTACTAAATGTACTTAAAGTTACTCTTCAACTGAACGCTATTAAATGGGTTGAGAGAAGAAAACATGCATTGTTCCATATGGAACTGCCCAACAAAAAAATCCAAAGCAGTCGTCAAAGGGTGAAATAGGACCCCTATACTTACAGTACGTAAAATTAGAATTGCCCCAAGTAAGGAAATGCAAGACAATCTTGGATTCTGGATTCCACACCATGGATTCCGGATTCTAGGCACTGGACTTCAGTGTTTGTGAGTGGAACTTGGATTCTAAATTCAAATAGTTAGTGAAATTCTGGATCCCTGAGCTCATTCCGGAGTTCCACCAGCAAAATTTCCCCAGATACGGAATTCCACAAGCAAAAATTTCCTGGATTATGGAATCCGGATTCCTTTACATGGGGTGAATCGGAAACTCTGAAGAATGTAGTTTTGCTTACCTCCTTTTTTGCAGATGTATTTCAGAATTGCACCAGACTGCGCAAGGATCTTTCCTTCAGGAGTCACAATAAAGGGCATCTGACCAAGTGGAGGTCTGCCAGCTATAAATCACAAAAACAAATACATATTCTATGGCTGGTTTTCACATGACTTCATCCGTTTTTATTCTAAAGAATGATTGATCCTTCTGAGCTTTTACTTGCAGGAAAAGCAGGAAGTCTTAGAGCAGCTTAAAAACTGATACTTTTTATGAAAATCTTCACTATGAAAGGATTCTTTATTTTGTGAGCAGATATATAGGGTATGCTTGAATTTCAAGCCTTTTGCATGATGCTGTATCTACATGGCGGCTGAGAAACACATTTGAGCGGAGGGGGACTTAATAGAGACGGGAGGCTTATTTAATTTCGCAAAGACAATGGTAAAAGTCCTCCATTAAGAACAAGAATACAAAGTGGAAAAGCTCAATTTCAAGAAGTTGGAGGTTACATATACGCAGCTGAGGATCAAAAACACATCCGACATTCCAACACGTGAATAAACCATCCCGATCCTGGATTAGTCAAAATGAAGTTTTAGAGTTATAATTGATTTATACATTCTAACATTTATCAGTAATAAGGGGAGGGGAGGGAGGCTTAAAAGAGAAGGGGGTAATTAATTTTCTTCCCTTGAAAAGGGGGCGGGGAAGGCACTTATTAGAGCGGGGGGCTTAACAAACGATTAACGGTATTAGTTATATTGTGATATTTGATCTTAAGTAAACGAAGCTTGAACACTCAGCAAGCAAGCATGACGAAGCAGTTCGTGATGTATGACTAAGTAGTTTGTTACTTTTTAGGGGCGCGTGGACGCATGATGTCAAGCTCTAAAAATCGTTAACTCGACCTCATTAAATATGCACAAAGTTCCAACAAGGAGGAGATGGAAACAAGATCGTTCAAAAAACGTTTATCAAAAGGTAAAAATGAAAACCCACATCATGCAATCGCACGAGGCAAAGATCACTGTCACAAAACTGATCGTGATACATTACCGGTTGCGTGCATAGCACGCGTCACTGCTGTTTTAAAAACTTCAGTTTCCATACAACTTAAAACTTTCGTTATCACGGAAAACTCTACCAAATTCAATCAACAATCAATGGGTCTTTCGAATTCACCAACTTATTCTTATCTCCTCAGTCTTCTACTTACACTCTTTTTCCTTGAGCCACTCTTCCCGATTCAATCGAATATCCTCGAAATCAATTTTAGCAGCTGCAAAAGCCCATCTGTCCATTTCTCCTCTTGCACGGACTGGAAAATAGTAAAGCTTGTAACCTCCACCAGACATATTTCGTGTTTTTCTTTCCTCTTCTTATTGTCTTCTTCTTACTTCTCTTCGAGGCACACCTGCACCGCGAGATTTTGTCTGTCAGTGAGTTTATACGCTTGGTTCAAGTATGTCAAGTATGTATGAGTCGGCGATTTTTGGCTCGTGCTCAGGCTTCGGACGTCCATGAATGCGGTTGTCACGTCACT